CACGTCCAAGCACATGGCCTTGCACATCTGGGACAGCGCCAGCAGGTCCCGGGAGAAGGGCTCGCTGGGGAGGCGCCACCGGTTGGTCGAGCCGGCCACCTGGCGCTCTGGCCGAGCTCGGTGCTTCTTGGGAGACAAGAGAGAAAATGGTTTCTCAGTCACACACACATGCCAGCCCTTCCACACGCACGGCCAGAAGCAAACCAGGACACGCTCCACTGCGGTTGACGCCCACGTGGCCCGTTTCCCATGAGCCCTCGGTGCGGGGCGAGTCCATTCAGCATCCGTCAGTAGGCGGTTCCAGGGATGGGGGACCCGGGACAGGAGGTGCGGGCGCTGAGCGTCCGGGAGAAGGTGCTCCTTGGCCTGTGGCTCTGAAGAGCCCCGAGGCGGGCACAGGCGACGCCCCAGGAGCTGCTCTGCGAGTCCTCACCCCGGCGTGAACCCGGAGGCCAGGCGGAGGCGGCCCGCCAGCGGCCGTCTGGTTTTTGTAAATTGCGGTAAAATACACAAGACAGAGACCCACCGTGTGTCCATTTCCCGGTGTCCGTTGAGTGGCCTTCAGTGCGTGACAGTGCTGTCAGCCATCGGCACCCCAAATCAGAACACTTCCATTCCCCACAGGAAACCCTGTCCCCCCACCGCCTGCCCCTGCCCCCAGCTCCCGGCAGCCACCAATCTGCTTTCTGCTCCTGCAGGGCTGCTGTTCTAGCTATCAATTGTTAATGTTTTTATTGATCTCAGAGAGGATGGGAGAGAGAGAGAGAGAGAGAGAGAGAGAGAGAGAGAGAGAGAAACATCAGTGACGAGAACCATGGGAGGGAGAGAGAGAGAGAGAAACATCAGTGATGAGAACCATGGATCGGCCGCCTCCTGCACGCCCCGCACTGGGGATGGAGCCCGCACCCTGGGCCTGGGCCCTGACCGGGAATCGAACCCTGACCTCCTGGTTCCTAGGTTGATGCTCAACCAGTGAGTCACGCCGGCCGTGCTGGGTATTTCTATGTAAATACAACATGTGGGGTGTGTCTGGCTCCTTCACTCAGCGTAATGTTTTCAGTTCCACCCACGTGGCAGCATGCGTCCACATTCACTGCCTCCAACGCATGCTGCGGCCGTGGGCGGCCAGTAGCCTCTGAGCCTCCCGGGGCTCGTACGGTGAGTGGGATGATGGCCTGACGGTGAGGACGAGGACGCGGTGCCGGTGCTGATCCGAAAACGATAAAATCGGCCCGGCTGCCGGCTCAGGGGCTGAGCGTCGACCTGTGACCCAGGAAGTCAGGGTTCGATTCCCGGTCAGGGCACAGGCCCGGGTTGCGGCTCCATCCCCCGTGGGGGGCGTGCAGGAGGCGGCCAATCCGTGATTCTCTCTTATCATTGATGCTTCTCTTTCTCTCCCTCTCCCTTCCTCTCTGACATCAATAAAAAATGTATTTTAAAATACCAAAAATGATAAAATAAAACACGGGCTGGGAGCTGTGCCCTGGTCTAGTGCCTGGAGCGTGGTGGGTGGTGGGAACGTGGAATTGGGATCCCCATGTGGCGGTCAGCCCAGGACCCAGCCCTCTGACCCACGTCCCAGCAGAGTCGGCCGCTAGGCACAGACCGTCCCCCCCTCCCCGGGAGCCTTGGGGCCACGGCTCCCCCCATGCTGCCCTCAGGAGACGCCCACCACTCTCACCTGATTCAACATTTTCACCACCGACAGCGAGGATTCCACGGGGGCAGGAAGGGAGAGAACCACCTGGAAGACACAACAGGTAAAGGTTCCCTTTTCTTTCTTTTATAAAAAAAATATTTTTATTGCTTTCAGAGAGGAAGGGAGAGGGATGGAGGTAGAAACATCAGTGATGAGAGAGAACCATGGACCGGCCGCCCCCTGCCTGTCCCCCACTGGGGATGGAGCCCGCAGCCCGGGCCTGCGCCCTGACCGGGAATCGAACTGTGACCTGGCTCATAGGTCGAGCTGGACCCCGGAGCTTGCCGGCCGGGCTGGTCTGTGAAAGGTGACCTGACAGCTCTCTGCAGGACGGGCTCCGAGAAAGCAAAGCAAAGACACCAGGTTCTTCCCTTTTCCCGAGGATGGGACCAGCCGATCACAGACTCGCTAAGTGCGATGGTCCCTGGGCTCCCAGCCCCTCTGCCTCCGGCCTGGACCCCCCAGGTCCCCCAAACAGCGCCAGTGGGAGGAGTGAGGGCTCTGGGGGCTGGAGAGGAGCAGCCACACTCACTGCTCCGCGTGCGTCCACAGGGGAGCTCGTCCGTGTCCGTCAGAGGCGCTCTCACTGCATCGGCCGAGTCGCGGGCTGTCCACCCCCCGAGGCTGGGTCCTGGCGCATTCGGGGCCCCAGGCACCGGGCGCCCGGCTGGCTGTTTTCCCTGCAGGGGCCGCGTGCTCCGGCGGGTGCTGCCCTCGGCTTCCTGGGTGCTGTGGGTGCCGTGGCGACTCAGGGACATTCCGAGAGTTCCTGTTCCGCCTGGTCTCCGCACAGCTGGGCTGCGGGCAGTGCGCCTCAGAGCCACCACTGCCACGCACTGGGGCCAGGCACCCACTCAGCCTCCCTCCTTAGGGGGCGGTCGGGTCACCCCACTTTCCTGTGGTGCCCAACTCCTCACAGCATGGGCGGCCTGGAAGGTCCTCGAGAACGGCCCCGCTTCCGGCCTCCTCTGTGAAGGGAGGGGCTGGCCCAGAGGTTCTCGGCCCCTCGGCCCCCCGGCCCCTCCCAGTGCTCTGTGCTGGGGGGTCTAGGTCTACCTCAGGTCCAGATGTGGTTTGATTAAAAGATTTACATAAAAATGGGCGAGCTATGCGTCACTGAAAGCCGTGCCGATGGCTTTGCTGTATGACCCGGGCACACCCTTACCCGGGGGCCAGAGCCTATGCCCCAAAGGGGTGTGTGTGTGTGTGTTGCGTGTGTGTTGGGGGGTGTGTGTTGCATGTGTGTGTTGTGTGTTGTGTGTGTTGCATGTGTTGGATATGTGTTGGGTGTGTGTGTTGGGTGTGCTGTGTGTGTGTGTATGTTGTGTGTTGGGTGTGTGTGTTGGGGGTGTGTGTTGGCTGTGTTGGGTGTGTGTGTATGTGTGTTGCATGTTGGGGGTGTGTGTTGGGGGTGTGTGTTGCATGTTGGGTGTGTGTATTGCGTGTTGGGTGTTGCGTGTTGGGTGTATTGTGTTGGGTGTGTGTTGGGTGTGCGTGTTGGGTGTGTGTTGGGTGTGCGTATTGTGTGTTGTGTGTGTTGCGTGTTGGGTGTATTGTGTTGGGTGTATATTGGGGGTGTGTGTTGGGTGTGTGTTGGATGTGCATGTTGGGTGTGTGTTGGGTGTGTGTATTGTGTGTTGTGTGTGTTG